ATGTTCACTCAATCACAAAAGATATTGGATGATATGGAGAGTATATGAATTATGGTAGTAAAAAAAAAACAAGAAAAGAAAGCTTAATTAAGAACATAAATGACAAACGTATTGATAGTGATAAGAGGTTAATATAGGAGTAGACAATTTATTGGAAGTACTATAGAGATTTTACTACTAATTAAATGGAAATTAGCACGACAACTAATTCGCCTTACCGATTGGAAACAAAAGCAATAAAAAAACGCACTCACTTAATGTAGAATCTGGCAACAACAGCACAACTGTGCACACTTTCTTTCATTGTGTGGGGGAGGGGGGGGGGGTTAGATACCAATGACCTTGGGTACACAGTAATAATCCTCAAGAGCCGGCTTTAAAAATTTCCACTTCAAGAAATAAAGGCTAATCATAGGAAAGCACTAAGTAGATCAGTCGCTATAATTACCATATGAATAAACAACTCAAAGAGCACGGCTTCGAATTACATTGGCGCACATGCAGAGAACAGCATGAATAAAAGTACCAGTTGTGTATGGTCGAAAGAAGAGTAGCAGAATGTGAGATTTCATAAATGGGAGAGAGAGAAAGAGAGAACAACTTATTTATAACCCACCATCCCAATTAGGATATGCGCCATCCTATACTCCTGCCCCTCTCTTTGCTAATTAATTGTATGCGAAGACTTTGGTTAAAAAACCAACAACTAAGAGGAGCTCCGTTCTGCTTTATTTCCATAGGAAGGAAGTAAAATAGTCCCCCAATCGTCTAACATTCGGAAGATTGAGGGTGGCAACTTAACAATAGGATATGGTTTTAGTTACGAAATTTGTGCAATGCAGGTAGCCACTCAATCCTATCATCCACATAGATTGCAGCATTACATTTTAGCAAAAGGGAATCCGACAGTGAATGACGAGTCTTCTACCATCTAATTGAGTTCGAGAAGCGAGATTTAAAGTCTATCCAAATGGAAAGGCCACTCTATATTTCATAGTATTATATTTAACATGACTGAAAGTTCGCATTACCACCCAGACCTCTACAGTTGATTGCGAAAGAGCCTAAAAATGTAAAAGCTGTAAAAAAAGATGGAAATAAGGAGTGAAAAACACAAGGAATACAAATAATGAGAGTAGGCGCAGCATCAAAGTGACAAAATGTAGAGAGGTGGACAGAATAATGAATCACAGATACAAAAGAGATAGAGAGGCACAAAGGCAGAAAAAAGGTAAGATGAGTACTGTGGAGTGGTCGAATAAGACATACAGTGGGGTCATGCTAGTTTGAAGTCAGGGGTCAACTGCCGGTTAATAGACCTTTCTGGCGTATGAGTATACGTTGTCTATTGCACATCCCTGATCAATGGCGATCTATGACAACATTAAGCAACCAATTCGGCTACCACCAGTGGTCCACACTGGCGTGGAATATGTGCTTAACACATTGATGTAGCAAAATCGTGACCCTGCTAAAAACGCTAAGGGTCCGCTTTATTTCTGCGTGGTGCTGAAACTGCTGACAACTTGATAGTTCGCAGGGGAAAATATGAAGATTACTTCGTTTCTATAATGTTCACAAAGTGAATTGAAAATCTTTCTGGGTGCAACTGTAAGTTAGGCTTGTCCACCTCAATGAGCCTTAATGCTTTAACGCCTGAATAATTTTTTTGATAAATGCACCCAACCACACTGACACGTGTCTCACAGAAGACTGATGCCACCGACATAATGCCGGCTATAGACACGCAATGAACATGGTTCAAACAACAATGTCAAGCCTTCTGTTACGAGTCTAGTACCAGTGGGGCTTATTTTGACAGGACTGTGAGGTCCTGCGGGGCGTAAAAGAGCTAATCGCCTATAACCAAACGATATCCAATGGGCACATTTACAATAGTCAGAAAGAAACTAGAAATTTTAGAATTACCACAGCGTAGAAGAGCCATAGGAAGTAAAGCAATACAGCAACAATACGTGACTCACCAAATGATTCTTCTCTGGTCTAAATTGGCCAATCGATATAATCCAAGGTTTTCGTTTCTCGCTTACATCTATTCCATTCACCAAACACGGGCATGGCGGATAGAGGAGGAGAGGTCGACTACCAAACAGCGATTCAATATGCCGCCTAGTCCACGTTGAATTCACCGCCACAGCATGACAATTCACAGAACTTCCAGTCCACCCATAAATCCCCATGAAGAAAATGTAATATAATTGTTTAAGAGTTGTCAGAAATTGGCTAGTTCGGATTCGCGAGGAGTTATTGTAGCTTGTGGCTGTGCTATGCTGGACGACCCTATTAACCATATCTGCTGAGATGGTGGGGAAGTGAATATAGGCTCCACAACGCGCTCCAATAAACCAGGAAAAGAGTGGAATTGTGAAGGAGAAACCTAAAATCACAAGCACATGAAAGCATTAAGGGAGGTCATTTATTAGATTAACACTTGTGTTACATAATTTCAATTGGAAATAAAAAGCTACACAATACAGGGAGTCAAGTTTCATAGAGAAAGTGAAAAACTGACTTGCTCCGGATTTTAAATATTATGGATAGCAATAAGAAATCGCGTATCTGGAAAGTAACAATGGAACTTTATTTACTCTTAACCCTTTCAAAGTGCCCCTGCTCCTTTTGATCACCTTTTTGAAAAAAATTGCAATTCTTGGATAAAAACACCCGTTCAAATACTTTTCGAATCTTCACGTATTTAGAAATTGTTTCTTAACCAAATCATGCATCCATGCGTTTAAAAAAAGATGATAAGCTGCTCGGGTGAGGTCAAGCAAAATATGGAGGATGTGATGGAACCTCTGATGTTAATTTTTTTCTTTTTTTGCAAGGTCATTCATTTTTTGTGCAGCTTGAGTCGGTCACTGTCTTTTCGCTGAATTAGCCTACTTCAATAAAAAAAAATCAAATTTTACGTTTATCTCTTGATTTCTAGTTTATTCTTCCCCATTGTTGACAACAATAAACTTCGACTCTAACTGCTTCGTCCGATTCAAGTCATACGTAATAGATTTATCCACATGTTTCAAGTCCATAGATGAAGTTCCTGAATGGTCAACCTAGACTTCACTTAGGAGATGGTATCAGTGTTTGATTTGAAGACAAGATTTATTTTTCCGCCCACTTCTTCATGTGAGTAAAATACTCTGGTAGCAGGTTAATGAGACGCAGAATGAGATTTTTCTGTTCAAGTCAAGATTAGTAGTGGGAAATTTATTATTCATTATCCAATACCATTCATTCATACTAACTAAATGTAAACTTATCTTTGCTTAGGAGCACAAATGCTTAATAATTCGGTATTTTTAAACGATAATAGACATAATTATAAATGAAATCACTTAAGTTAACAGAACGAAAACTTGTCAATTAAAGGAGATTCACATGTACATTTCCTGCACGATATAAGAAACGCACTACATCATCGATGTTAGATTAAATTCGAGTCAAAAAAATTGAGAGCGGTATCGTTTCAGTGACTAAATGTGAAAATGAAATCTCCCTGACCTTGCAAAATCATCTCATTTTTATAACGTAACTTGCGAAGTAACTTGAGCAAGTCCTTAGTTCAATGGGGATGAAATTTTATCAAAATTGCTTATCCACATCATATTGAAAGCAATAAATAGTTATACTACTTGAATTGGTCGAAAGTATAACAATACCTGTGGAATCAATGTAGAAATCTGGTGGAAGTCGAACAAGGCATTCAAAAGTAGCCACAATGGAACCAAAAGCCTGACCGGCCAGGGTGAGAAATGAATAGAGACTTGCACGTAAGAGGGGTTCACTGCGAAGTCGCACAAAGTTGACACGTTTGGTATCTCCAATAGATATGTCAAATGTTTCACGAACTCGTCGAAAGACCCGATTGGGTGAATCGAGGCAAGATGGATCATTAGTGTAGATAAAGATGAGAAGGGAGGGATATGTGCGAAGAAGACAATTTATGCCGGTCCAAAGAACACGTTCGCCACCTCCACCAGAATTGCAATAGGGATGGAAGAAGGCAAGAATTGTAGGGGGCCGCAGGAACTTGTATTTTTCAGCCAACTGTTTGCGCAGCACTTGGCGGCGTATCAAAAGCGCAATTACAAAGATAAAACAAAAAGTCCATATGAAAATGACTGCGAAGGCCAACATTGACCACTAAATTTAAAAAAGACGATTTACCATTTTGGCAGAAAACAAAGTGATATCACATAAAGAAAAAACGTGAATGAATTATATAGTAATAAAAGGTTGTGAAGTACGCAATCGTCACAAGATAAAATGCATACCGAACATTTTGAAGTGATTAACCCAAGTATTTAGCTATTAATTTTCTCTCACATTGGGATAGATTAATTTAAAAAATAATAATATTTACCGTTATCAAAATTTTCAATATACGTTTGGCTAGCAACACGTAATATGTCTCTCTACCAGTACGAAGGCTATTTTAGGCTAGGAAAATTTGCCATAGAGATTACCAAGTATAGTCGAAACTTATTAGTGAACCAAAGTATTAGAGTTTGGAACAAAGATAAAAGAGAGCATCCAATCAAATTAAACTAAGATCATAAAAAAATGACGAACATTACAAGGATGTCTCCAAAATGATTAGTAAAAATAAATAATACATAAATGAAAACTGATAGGATATAAATGATAAAATTTTAGTTATACAAAATTAAGCATGAGTAGATATGTTAAAGAATACTTAGGTCACAAAGAACTAGGATTTATAAGGGGGAAGAACACCAAAGGAGATTACAGTAATTCAAACATGCGCATACCGATTTTACCTAAACTGGTATATTTTAGCGACGTGTAAAAACAAAATCGGACCAAGCGCGAATGTGAAGGTTCACTCAACAACCAATAAGAACGGAGGTAGTTTGCGACAAGGGCAGGCATAAAAGAACTGAAGGGATAAAAACAATATATCAAAATTCCATTATATATAAAAAATAACCAGTAAAGTTCTCATTGCAACAATAATATTAAATAAATAATGTTCCAATTGTGCTAAATAGTAACGTCAACCTTGCTATGTGAAATTTTTCATAATTCATAACACCAACAAATTTTGCTATAAATTACAAAGCAAAATGTTTGTCTAAAATTCATATTTTTGTGTTTATTTAAATTCCCTAATTTTGATCAATTTATTAAGTCCGCCTTTTGTTGATCATGTAAATCATTACACCATTAACACGTCCTTTTAAATTTGTATTGTTAGCCCATACCAATGACCCATTTTTGGACAAAAGATAATTCACAAAGTACTATATACACGAGAGTAGCTATCAATAATTATGCTTGAAATCAAAGAGAAGTAACGTTTATTGTTAAGATATAAACTAAATATTAGGGCCATAATTTTCTTGTACCGTAATTGGTATTCTTCACAAAATATTTAATAATAAGTTAATTGAAAAGCATTTTTTTCAAAGCTAATAAATGGGTATCATTAAAAGTTTACTGTCACGAATACCAGACTAATTGAAAAATATAACAATGTAACATTAATTGAGCACTTTTCCTTGCCTTTTTAAAGAAATATGTCTCTAGTTTGACAAAAATTTTGCATATCGGTAAAGAATTTTACCGCTAACGAAATAGAATGGATGAGAAATTAACAAGTAAATAGTTCTGACCAAATCTAAATTACTATATTAGTTTTAGTGAGTATCCCTAATGTTTCACATTTTATGATATTTTCAAAAACGTAAATATTTAAAATTTAGCAGAAAAATATGGCTTTCAGCATCTGCGACAATAACTTCGACGAATATATGTTCTGAAATTAATTTGTTCGTAAATGAGCCGGGAGTGCTTTCGCAGTAAAATTTTTTCACCGTTATATAGAGCAAATATTTCGAGATAACCATATTACTAGAATAAAATTTAATTAAGAATTTTAAAAATATTAGTAAAAGTGCTTAGGTAGGTTCGCGTGTGAATGAACGTTTGAATTTTGGAAGCATTTCTTGCAAATTTTATACCATAAACAGGAACGCAGACTGATATCGAAACCCAAATTTTGTTATTAAACGATAATAAAAAATATAGCTTTATAAAAATTAATTATATTATAGTGAGAGCATAGTGAAACATGGACCGTGCTATCCTGCTTCTTCATAAATAGATTGCTGCACGAATAACGAAAATTAAATAATTTTTGCCAATAATCAAATTATCTGTCTACTTTAAACTATTATCTTGTGTATTGTGTAAACCAACGGACGGTATTGCTTAATAATAATTTTGAACACTCTAAGGTTTGTCAATTAGGTTTATGCAATCACGCGACAATTTATAAATTTTATAAATTTATGAGCTATATTTATCTATCTTCATAGTAAAATATTGGCTTAGTTGCAATTAAAATAATTAAAGGTTTATTATAACACATTCTTGCATGCGTTGTTTTACACTTTGATATTTAATGTGGTTAAATTAAAATTTTACTTTGTTCGTCTCGCACCGGTGCTTGGTGGATTGATATAATCAACGAACATGGCTACCTGTGGTTCTTCAGGTAGCATAAATTTTTAAAATTAAATAGCCATTTTAGAACCTTTAAAATTACGTATTAGTGATATCAAAAGAGGTGATTTCTGTAATTCCAAAGAAGGTATCTATATATGTTGGGTTAATCATAATGTTAGATAATGCGATTACCTGCGTTGAATTTGATGAATCCGGGGACTATCTCGCCGCTGGTGATAAAGCTGGTCGCGTATATGTTTTCAATGGATCTGGAGAGGTAACAAGTAATATATTCTTATTCGAAACAACCAATTTTAGGAACCGTTCTACGGAATGTTTTGTGCCTTCACAAGTCACGAATCTGAATTCGACTACTTAAAGTCACTCGAAATTGAAGAAAAGATAAACTCTATCATGTGGCTTCCTATTTGTAATAATTCACTTCAATTACTCACAACTAATGGTATATATATCTCGATATTCTTGTTTATGAATTATTCTATAGACAAGGTTATTAAATTATGGCGTATGTCGGAACAATCTCCAACCGCATACAATTTCAATTTTCGTAAGACTCAGAGAGATGACCAAAGTTGCGACGACGAATGTCCGTTATCTGGATCATCAAGCAATGGTGATCCTTCTCCAACCTCTGAAAATAACGATGTTTATTCTTCCCTTAAAAGTGCTGCTTCCTTAAATTCACTTCGAATTCCTCGCTACCAAAAACGAAAAAATCTTACCATTGAAGTTCGATCCAGAAAAATCTACCCCAATGCTCATACCTATCATATCAATTCTCTCTCCCTTAGTTCTGACCAGGAAACTTTCCTTTCTGCCGATGACCTTCGCATCAATTTATGGCATATTAACCACAATGAACAATCTCTCCGTTTGTTTCATTTTCATGTTTACCTTGGAAAATTTCTTGCCTACATAAATGATTATAATTTTACTGTTTTGTAGAATTTGTTGACATAAAGCCGGAAAATATGGAAGATTTGAATGAGGTTATAACATGTACTCGATTCCATCCAGAACTCTGTAATATTCTCGGTTATTCAACTAGTCGCGGAGTTGTTCGCCTTTGTGATACACGTGTCAAAGCCGTCTGTGATGAACCTGCCCTTTGTATGTTGTTTCACTTTAATGGTTATATAAGTTTGTGCGTGTATTATTTAGCTTTAGCATTATAAATCTTGTGATTGCTACTCGCAACTCCCAGTAAATTTATATTCTAGCTATTAAATTACGTAAAATATTCATATTTTTGTTTATGCTAACCAAGACGAGTTTTTACTAGCCTCACCTCCATAGGTTGTTGAAAGCTGCCCTTTTGATCAGTGGCAATGGGTATCGATCTTGTAATGTTTTACACGTCCAATGTGGCGCTGTAAAACATTGTCATGGAGGTACATGAATTCACTAGCCTACAATTTCGTCAGGTTTTATTCATACCTTACGATCTGAATGCTTGAAACTTCAAGTGAGTCAAATTTGGAGAAGCGGATATTGCGGCCAAGGCGTCTAGACATTCGATTTGAATTATAAATGGTACATGAGCCGTCTTCATGTACCATTAAATAACGTTCTAATATCTGAATTTACCTATTTTTACTTTCCGAACCATGGCTGAGGTTATGTCTTTAAGCTCCTTGTTTTGGTTGAAATATGAATTTTTGGTCTTGCCATCTGAACTTATTATTTGTATAAGTCATTTATGTTGTCCTCTGTGTGATTTTTACTTGACTCCTTTAATTTGGTTGGCGCACTTTCCATATTTTAAGATTTTTTTACAAGCATTGCGAAATTTATTGTCTTGAATTATAATAACATGAAAAAACCGCAAATAGAGTTCAGTGTCTTACGAAGTCTCTAAATCTTGCTTACGGTGGAATTTGTTTAGTAAAATTATTATTTCCTTTATAGGTCTAAATGATCCCTCTTTGTCTGGTTATCGAGGATTCTTTTGTGACATAATTTCAAGTCTCTCGGACTTCCATTTCGATCACTCCAGAAACTGTGTGCTCGCAAGGGATTACCTTAATTTGAAAGGTATTTTCTTTTATTTCTTGTTGATCTTTATTGTTTCATTTAAAATTTTTTCCTATTGTAAGTGGCAAGTGTCTGAACAAGGAAGCATAATGGAGCTTTTATGGATTATTGGAAATTGGGTTGATGTGATCAATCCTTTTCATTAGCCAATAAGTGCTCTGTGATTCTATATACCCAATGTTTCAATTGTGACCTGTGCTCGATTACGTGATGAAGGGAATTATGAGGGCCATTGATCATCCATATTTCACTTACATTCGCTCTGAACACCTATTTAATGCCTGAAGTTGGCTCAGCCCATATTTGGTTGAGGTTATATCAGTATCATTTTGGCCACTTGTTTACCGTGAATTGGTTAAAGGCTCAACCAACATGTACAGTCGGGGGGGGGTACATTAATGGAGCAATGGGGGTCATCTTTCGCTTTTCTCATATCGGAGGTCATGGGTTCGATTTCCATCGACACCCACCTAGTGAGCTCAATGACTGATTGCATTTGTGTTGGTCTGTTTAATATAGAAAGTAGTATGATTTTAAATTCTCACCAGGAAGGCTCTACGATGTCATTACCTAACGTGAGCGCTGGAAAGGCTTTCCTATACGGTCCCGGAAACTATTTTTGTTACTCTTATTTTTGTAGTAGAAGAGTTAAACCTGTTGCTGAAATTTCGTTTTAAACCAACCAACCCCCACTGTTGACCTCATACCGTTTTATTGCTGTTGCAGTGTGGGATATGCGAAAAGGTGATCGGCCGTGTGAAGTTTACTCCGTGCACGACCCTTTGAAAACACAATTGGTCAACCTATACGAATCGGATGCCATATTTGATAAATTCCTGTGTTCTTGGTCGCATGATGATCGGTAAGTTTGGGGATGTCACCCGTCTCTATTAATAACATTAATTGCAATGTTTCTTTACAAATTTTCTACATTTATCATTTATCGTACGTCTTATAGCAGATTTCAAGGTTTTGTTATACGTTTTTTACCCTTTTACTACTCAAAATCATCATTACTACTGGAACAACACGTTGAACAAAGACCATGACTAAATGAGCATATCAATCACAAGGCGACTTGGAATCGAGTTCAGACACACGAAAACATTTCAATTGATTGTTCAGATATTCTTGAGAATCGTGCGGAAACCTAAATTCTTACGATGTTAAGGTCTTCCTCCATGCATTCAAATGAATAGGGATAAACTAGTCAACAGAAATAGTGGTGAAACACAGGGATAGACACCCAGAAAACTGGATTTTGCATAATATAGTGCGTAAGGTAATCAGTTTAATCTCAACCACGACCTTATGTCGTGGTACGTGTAATTCTCAACAATTCTCTGCTCGGTATGGTAACAATAATCATCGACTTGGTTTTTCCTTAGTCATAGCATGCGCCATATCTCTTTTTTCTTACTTTAATAGGTACCTTTTCACCGGTTCTTACGGGAATGTAATGCGTATTGTGGATCGTCAGCAGGGCTCTGACTGGACCTATGATCTAGGAGATCCCGAGGCCCTTCCACTCGAATCCATTATCCAGCCTGATGGTGTTAATGTGTCCTTCCCCACCCTAACCCCCGGCAGACCTCTTCGTTCCCATCGTCTCCAGCCTAAATGCTTTATTCCCCTCGATTCCGAAGTTGCCAAACGTTTTCATCTTAAAAGCCTCTGTCTGGCTAATGCCTCATCACTTGAGGCTCTCAATAATTCCACTTCGTCTGTTTCTCATGCAACGAAAACGGAAAACCAACCGTCCACTGATTCGCCTGTTGCCGTCGGCTCTAAAAGGCGCAAGCAGACTCTCCTTCCAATTCGAAGGACGACCAATGACGTCGAGCAGCAAGCTCAGGACGATGAGGATGGTGATGGCGATCCAAATTCTGATGATGACGAAGAAGACGATTTTGAATTTGTAGATGAGGAAGATGATAATCAGTTTTTGGACAATATAGCGAATGGTATTCAACACTATCGCCACTCGCATTGTCGTAAAGTTAATGGTATGTCAGAGAGGTCTCTTCTCCCAGGTCTTCAAGAAGTGGACTTCAAGAAGCGATTCCTTCAAGTTGCTTGGCATCCACGTCGTGGAATTCTTGTTGGTGTTAGTGGGAAGGAGATGTTCTTTATATCTGAAGGTTCTGAGTCCTTACCATCAGATTGTGATGCGGAAGAGAGAGAGAAATTGGAGGAGGAGGAAGAAGCTGCACTGGACAGTACTAATCAAGATACTTCTTTGTCCTCTCAGCCTTGTCCTAAGAGGCCTTGTCTTAGGGAAGATGAAGGAGAGGAAGAAATTGCGCTTGTGGAGCTGCCACCATCCCCTTCCCAAGAATTTCTATTGGTTGAAAATGTAACGTCAGAAGAACCTTCTACTGATGGCGCATCTAAGATGGATTTGGAATAATTCAGTGTCATCATCATCATCACGATTGACTTGCTTTTTATACACTACCCTTGCATTGTGTACAAATTTTCTACCTTTCTCTTTCTGCCATCACAAGTATGATCCCTACTCACTCTTATATTTAGAATTACAAACGATCCTTGTGGGATTGAGTAGTTTATCTTGATTATATAATTTATGGCACATTGAGTAGCAGCTTTCCTTTCGCAATTCCACTTTAGCTGCTGGTAGGCATTGTGTACTAAAGTAGCGAAGAGTTGAAACTATTTTGCGTTGTCATAGGTGGTGGTAAACTTAAATTTACTTGCTAAAAATCTTACTAGTAGTTATATGGAAATTAAAGAAGTGATATTCCGGAAACTTCGAAAGTGTGCATAAAGCTGGGTTCACATTAGGGCGCTTTAGTTACACTTAATCCAAAGGTAGCGTGCAGGTGCTCAAGGATGGGCAGGTTCGTATGCGTTCTTGTCTTTTAGTATGAAGGACATAGAGGCGCCTGCATTTATGTCCAATGTCCGTTAAGTAATGGCAGTGGCCGATCAAGCTCCAACCAGTTGCCTAGGCTAGATAATGGCCACCAAGTAAGTTCAAGATAACAGCCGAATAAAGTGGAGGCCTTAGGGGCACTGGCGAGTAGTTGATCTGTGTCAACAATAAATACAAGTTCCTGGAGGTGTGCGCATCGAGTGACGTTTCTCCGACGGGCTTCGGATCTATTGATGACAATATGAACAGTCTTGCGGCGCTAGATTATTGGTGGTGTGGGGAGTGTAGTTTAATTGAAAATGTAATTTTCTTTAAATGGCAGGCGTTTTGATGGTTATCATTAGCCCTTTAGTTGACTTCAGGCTTCACAGAGGGGGAGGGACAGAAGTGTTTTAAAGGCAAAGATAGAAAAAAGGTGAGGTGAGTACTGTGAAAGTAGTTGAATATGATATACAGTGGGGTGGTGGTAGTTTGAAGTTAGAAGTCAACTGCCGGTTAATAGACTTTTTGCCGTATGAGTTTACGTTGCCCAGAGTGTACCACGTGGAGGCAAGTCTATCGCACACCCCTAATTAAAAATATTGAGAACATCTTATAGTCAAGGCAAGGTGTTTCGAAAAAGCCTGAAAAAACCAATATCATTAAGAGTGAGATGTAGCAAAATTCTTGGAGAAAATGTCATTTCCACTTAGACAAGCATGAGATTGAGGAGTTGGTCGCAATACGCTTATTATATCCTGGGTTGTCTCATTGCAAGTCAAATCAAATTTAGGCTACTTTCAATTCTTCAGTAGCCATGAGTTTAAGAATTCATTTCGAATTTGTTCATTAGTTCAGTATATACTGTTTACTAAAAGCGAAACGCATCCATATTCCTCGTGACAAAAAGAAAAGCGCTTGAATATGGCTACGAAATTTCCCTCCTAAGAACGTGATAACTGCCATTTAATTATGACATCTCAAATATGTTCTTGAATGTTAATAAGCCACACAGCGATAAACCCCATAAGAACCCGTGAATGAGTCATACATAGAACTATATGGTACGGAAATAGACTGTCAAAATCGGTAAGCCAATCATGATAACAGATTGCGCCATTATATGAATTGTGCCTTTTCAACACACTTTTAAATCCAAAAGATACTGCTAATCCTCATGTGGAATTGTTATTGAATGGAGTTCAATTTAACTATTTTACGATATTGTTCTTAGTCAAACTGCTCGTTTGTAGCACCTCTCTGTGTACGCTTAAAGATTTAAACAAACACGCCACTCAATTTAAAGTGTAATTCAAGAATATGTTACCAGTATTATTTAAAAACCATGCAATTTACACGCGTTTTATAACTGAAATACTGGAGTAATAGCGCTAGTTACCAATTATGGCAATATGATTTGCTGGTATTAGAGAAGCTACAAATTCCATGTTCCGCTATTAGGATGAGATGCAGCAATTGCAATAACAATACGCGTCATCACGATGATTAACAAGCGTGACAACCAAGTCAGGAGCTACGGAATCGGTGCTAATTTGCACAGACCAACGGTACTAGTTCATTCTAAACAAGGAATTTAGTAAAGCTTACCTTTAGAGTGGTTGCAGAATTGCATCCTTAGACATAAATCAGATGTTAATAGTCATTCCCCTAAGGAGATTGATTTCTCTTTAGGTACTTCAAATATTTTATATTCGGCTCTTTAACATCTCATGATTCATGATGAGTGTTGGGATTTGGATAACTATGTCCATACTCAATAAAATGAATTTAGTAGTCATCGGTCGGATCTACCAAGAAGACAGAAATCTTTAAATAATAGCTGCCTTCATACTTAGCCACTATATTTGGCCTTCTCAAATACTTTGAACATTCTCTGCAGTCATTAAAATTGGTAATAAAATGTTTAGTAAAGTTTACTTTTCAACACCTGTGCTATTTCAGGAGTTAATTCTTCATATATTCGTTTGTCGTAGTATACTGGTATCATTAGTGCAAATCTACCTCATAATTTGCTGGGAAAAAACTTTTCACATAAATCCCACTGCCTACTTCGACGTCGAAAATCGAGGTATTGAAATTGATTTCGTTAGACCAAGGCTTCATATCTGAGCCTTGGCAAATAGATGTCCCAACGAGCAGATAAAGAAAAGTACGGCAAAATGTAACATTGCGGGTCTTGAGTTATCCTCATTTTCAAGAGTAAATGTCATTTATTCTCTCTCCCCCTCCCCTTCCCCCCTCCCCCTCCCCCT